CCCTTCGCTTCTTCTTTTTTTTTTTTTTTTTCTTTCCACTTTTACATTCCAAACTCGTTCCTCTTATTTGCTCGTTTAGGAGCACTCGATTCGTTCATTTAAATTCTGCTCATTTATTCACGCATTCTGAAACTTTTAACCGCGTCAGAGGAACCGCGTCAACGCGGCTCGATTCTCACCGCGTGGAAATAAAATTTCATTCCACTGTCCCCCGTGAACGATGAAACTTTCCATAATAAAACCGAGATCAACGTAATAAAAGTGGCTTTAAATGGGCCACTGAGTTGCTTCTTCGTTCGCTGTTTCTCCGCGGACAAAGTTTCTGGATGGAAAGACGGCTGGAATTTCGTCTTTGGTGTAATCGCGTGAATGACGCAGCTATCACGAACAAGCGTTGAATAAACATCCTGGAATCGATCGTGGAAAACGAAGAAAGAGTGGTTCGTTACAGTCATAAAAACGAGGAATACGCGAGTCTATCGCGTTCGACTGGCTAAGAAAAGCGTGGAGATTGGATTTCTTCGAGCGTTGGTTTATAAATTTATATCGTCGGACATCGCGGAGATAGGTTCTTCGATATGTTTTCGACTGTGAAGAATTTGTTCCCTTTGAATTTAGAATGGATAGGATTTTTTGTGATAAAGAGTCTCTCGAGTATCTTGTTTCCTCTGAAAGGGGATGTTTTTTCAAATAAAATTGTGCGAGAGAATATTTCTTTTTTTTAAAATATCGACTGCAATTGTAATTTAGATTGGTAATTCATCTCAATTTTTTTTTTTTTTCGGAAATAATTTAGATAATTTAATAATTCGAAGAGAGACAAATGGTAAAAAAAAAAAAAAAAGGAGAGGTAGCTCCGCCAGCGACGAGTAGCAATCTCTGAAATTCAACCGTCTAATTTAATTTGCTCCGTTTCAATCATCCGTGACCCGAACGCACCCTTTCATCCAGAGTGATGCACCATCACGTCGCGGAAAAAATCACCTCGTACGCTCGGATGCTATAAAAAGCTCTGAATAATTGCTGTAACCTATCCAGACATTTCAACTAGTAATTTGCGTAACGTTAGTTGAGGATAATTAGAGGATTTGCTGATACAAATTGCTGTGATCCTGTTGATTCTGTTGAAGTTTACAGTGGTAGAATTTGGTTACAGGGGAGAGTTGCGCGGTAGTTGATACAGTGTTATTTTTCTATTATATGTCAGACTAGAATTGGCAAAACGTGTTTGCAGTGTAAATTTATTGAACTTGATAAAAGGAATTTTGTTGAATTTAATGATAACAATTGACAACTCGTAGAAATAAAATTGTCATCCAGCAATTAACACAAACTATTTTTCTTTTAGGTCTGAATGTTAATAAAAAAAAGACATTTAATTATTATGATGGAAGATTTTTGTTCGAATTTTGTTTCTTTTACATACATCTTAAAACAGTGAAAACGAAGCATTTTTGATTTAACACAAGTCTGATCAAACTAGGTTAATACTACTTGTTGGGTGTGAATTTATTATGATACTAGTACTAGTTACACTGCTAATGATTTATTAGTTCCGAACGTATCAAATGAATACTACGGATTAAGTCTGAAGACACCGGACAATTAGATTAGATCTAAATATATCTAAGTCAGCGCTGCCGTGTGTGATAATTTAATGCTATTAATTATTCTACGTCATTCTCCCAGTCGTGAAATTTCAAAATTATCTTTTTACTTGGAAAATTCTGTTACAAAGAAAATTTAGTCGAGTGAATGTTGAACAATTTTGCAGTCGAATTATAGAAATACCTATCCATCAATTCAAGACGAAAGAAAAATTGTGCAAGCTTGCGCAATGTCACGAATCCGACATATCAATTACTATCCTATTATCGCTCGCCTAACGACACTTTTTCCCAACCGTGAAAATTCCCATTTCCGTCGCAAACAGAAACGAGAAATCTCGTAGCATCGATTATTCTTTCCGAACTTTTCCACTCCGACGAGGATGTACATCGGAAGAATATTCATCGGTCCTCCACTTCCGGCCAGCGCGCGCGACCACGTCGGTGATCGAAGTTTAATTAGAGACTCCACAAACACTTTCGTCTTGCCCCTCTGCCGACCTACGAACCCTGTTCGATTGCGACTCGTAATTGATGAACTGCAAATCGACTAACCCGGCAAGGTGTTCTCGCCGGTCAAGCCTGTCGTTAATGTCGAGCCGTAAGAAAAACGAGATCTATCTGGATCGAGTGCTTTCCTCCCCCCCCCCCCCCCCCCTCTGGTGATTTATTATACGCGTCAATCTGGATAACTTCGTCGGTAACTCTGTTTCCACGCAAAGTCCCTTGCGTCACTTTCACCGTGGTCTCTCTTTCTCTCTTTCTCTTTGATGATCGAACTCGCGCAAGGAGTTGAAAAATTCATCGATCTTTCGGGATGCAATTCAATTTGATTCGTTGGAAAGGCCGTGTGTTAGATTTTTGACCGATTGATAGCAGTTTGGAGAGAATCGTTCCAGAGTCGTGGATTTCACTTACCGCGACTTTTGACGGACGTTTGGATTTAGGGTTTATGGGGTAACAATTTTCAAATCTGTTTTTCTTGTTAGTTTGACCTTGGATTTTTTTCCTTTGAGATTCGGGAATTTTTCTTCCCTTCCATCCTGATTTTCGAATTTGTTCGGATTTGGAATCTTTCCGGATGCTTTGATTTGAGGTTGTAGAGAAGGTTGTAGAATTTGTTCATTCTCTGTAACTTTCGTCACGTCCTTGGATTCTTCGGATCTGGAGTCTCTGGATTTGATTCGTAATGTTCGAACTTTGACTTTGATATTGAATTTTTTTCAATTCTTAGGGTTTAGGACTCGAAGATCAATTTTATCCCAATTTTATCGCAAGCTCTATGAAGGGGGAGGAAATAATTTTTATACGGTCAGCGGTCGATAAAATTTCTCAATTTCTGCCCAGAGATTGAAACAGACAGCGTGTTCCTCGTCACGTTAAATATTTCACAAGGTTGAATGTAACTCGCGGGTTTATACGAGTTTAATTACTTTGGTTATTAATGGAAATAATCCAATACACCGGAAATATACATCAATATTACATAAGATCGTGTGCAGAAAATGGAACAGAAACCTTCAATCGGAACTCGAATCGGCAAATTCGAACGAACAGATCGATCGATCCTAGCCGACTGTCGTCCAAACGTGTCTCTAACGAGTTTCATAAGTGGAGCTTCAATCGCTGCAGTAATTAAACCAGTAACGAGAGGGCCTAAATTAATTATTCACGGCCACGGTCGAATCGTCCCGATCGGCCGTGCTATTCGACATTTTGAAACGCGTCCCATTTCCATCGACTTTCGATCGTCCACGATCTAACAAAACACGAATCGAGAATTCGTTCATTGTTCATCGTTTGTCATCAGTCGGAAACGATTCGTCTTTCTCGTTCAATTCTCTGGAGGAAGAAAGAAAGGGAGGAAGAAACAACGGGGAAAATAGATTTTCACGTGAATGATCGCTGCTTCGAGTCCGCTTCTTATCCGGCGAGGAAAGTTCAGAGGATCGTTCGTTAAATGACGGAGCCTCAAAGGAGCGGCACGTCTCTCGCGCGTCTTTTTCGCCAACGTGAAACAAAACCGGAATATGAAGGGATGATCGAAAAACGAGTTTACAGACAAGGGTTGAAAGCGAACGAAGGATATACATACATATGTACATATGTACATGGTTTGAAGAGGCCGTGGAACGGAAATTTCAGCTGGAAAGCTGGACTGATTCGATGTGCCTTTTAACGGACGGGGGCTTTTTAGTCGACAGCCTCTTTCAAACGTATAATATCATCTGAAGTATAATGTCTTCCGAAGTTACACGCCGACGTGACAGGGAAGAGGCCCACGTAGACGTCGCGTGGAATATGCAGAATGAAGTTTCGAGGAAAGCAAGGGCGGTGGAAGATACGGGGGAAAATGTTGCCAGTGAATTCGCGACGAAATTGAAGGGAGAGAATTTTTTTTTTTTTTTTTTGAATTATGGAGAGTCGTGAAATTTTTGAAAAATAATGCGGCCAAGTCGATACGAACTTCTTTGAATTATGGAGAGAACACAAATACATTGTTCGCCGAAAGAATTGCAAACGCTTAGAAATTACGGGTTTGCGCGAATCATACATATACATATATTTCTCGAGATATTAAAATAAAGAAATTTGTGTTAATTGTTGTTATAGATATCGAACTCAAACTTGACATTTTTTTTTTCTTCTTGCGAGCGGTTAGTAGAGAAATTGCGTGATTTAGTTAGTGAGGTAAATTTGCAATTTGTTTTAACGAGAAATGTAATTTGTATAATCGATCGAGAAAAGAAAATTAATTTTTAGTAATATAATGTGATTTAATAGCATTCAGAAAATACAAGATGACTAATCTTCCTCTTAATAAATTTTTTACTTATTTTTCACTTATTCAATGAACTTATATAATATAATATAATATAATATAATATAGTATAATATAATATAGTATAATATAATATAGTATAATATAGTATAGTATAATATAGTATAGTATAATATAGTATAGTATAATATAATATAATATAATATAATATAATATAATATAATATAATATAATATAATATAATATAATATAGTATAGTATAATATAGTATAATATAATATAGTATAGTATAATATAATAGTATAGTATAATATAGTATAATATAATATAATATGATATATAAATTATTTATTAGTTACTTATATAATATATTATAATATAATATTTATATTTATGATCCATTTATTCGTATATTGCATTATCTGTACCATAATTCTTATTTGCGATACAGTGCGAGTCCATTTCAGCGAAGAAATAGCAAGCTCTCACGCAACATAGCCAATCAGTTTCATGTCTGCATTCGCGCGCTATAAAAATTTCTGTTACTTTACTAATCGAAGCGTTTGATTTTCATTTCTATTATACTCTCTGAACTTTGCTTTCTGTTTCAGCTCGCATGGAGGAAGAAAGGGGTGCATCGAACGCTCAGATTCTTTGGTCAGCTTGCCAAGCCTTGGCTCGAGCTGTTAAATCAGCGCCAGCAGGTGCGCCCGTAGAAACTACCATTAGGCCTCTGGAACCGGAAATCAAGGCGGTCACCAAGGCAGCTCGTAAGTGTTTCAATATATTTCGAAATATTTTGTATTCCGTAGAATATTTTCCCGTGTATGTTGATTTTCTTTTCTATCTATTCTATCTTTTATAAAATATTCTATCACTATAAATTCTTCACTTGTCTTATTATCCGGTTACTTGAGATCTTCTTGTCGATGGTATTTATTCATGTTCTATTTTAATCAGTATTTAGTTATTTTATTCAACGTGTTAAATGGCGAATTTAAACGCAATATTTTCTCTCTGATTTTTCTTCAACCAGTTTATCGAATTTAGGTTTTTAAAAATCGTGATTGTAGAATGTAACTTCGAGAGTTCGTCTCGATTCTACAGTTTAAAGAAATCGAAGTGTAACGTTACGTTAAACTTCGGTTTGATTCTTTTAATTAGTTAAGAGATTAATTTTTCCCAGAGAAATTGCGCTAAAAATATTCTAAACTTTATCAGATTGAAGGAGCGGTAAATTCAGTGTAATTAGAAAAATTAAAAGGAAAAAAAAAAAAAAAAAAGAAAAAGAGGCGAGGGAAAATATTTCCAGTTACAAAGAATAGCGCATTAAAAACTTGACGAGGCTCTAATCATAGAATAGTTGACGGTTCGCTAGAAAATGCGGAAAGAAAGAAAATTCAATACTCTCTCGCCTTGCCTATCTGCCCGCTAGGCTGCACAAAGGATTTAATTACACATGACTGACGGTGTATCGTTACTATTCACGCGAAAATATTTTGTACGTGATCGACACAAGCTAACGCGCGATCTCTTTTGGATTGCTATTACGCGTATAAACAAGTTTTTACGATATTTTCTTTTTTTTTCTTTTTTTTTAAACAACTTTGATTTAACGAAGAATAAATAATCTAGAACTTTTAATCGCAAGTTCTCGTTTTATCTGTGCTGGATTATCCTTCAAAAGAGATTGCAATTCCGTCGTTTAATGAACACGATCTCTCATTAATATTTAAAATTACGTTTTTAAATCCTTGAAAATACTTTTCGCGCAAATACAGTGTTGTCTCTACGTATTAAATTATCCTGCACACTTCGTCGATAATTCTTTTCTAATAAAAATAGTTCAACGTGCAGCTTGTCAATGTAAAGAAAAAATTATAATGTAGAATTACATTCATTCAATAGAATGAATCGTTCAATTATAATATTAAATTTTATTGAGGTGTAAAATTATAAAATTGATTCCCTTCTAACATCCTGTTTCAGTTCTGTTGACTCTGTATCGTTGAATGATAAAATTACAAAACTGACCGCCACTGTAATATTTCATTTTTATAAAATTACGAGATTATGAAGTTGTCCATTAATTTGTATAATTAATAGACTTGTTACTGGACCTCATCGTTTTACAATTCCACGTGTCAATCAATATCAATTTTACATTTCAATCTTACACTTCGGTAATTTTTGAAAATACTACCACCGATTCGATCCTTGTCGATACTTGTTTCGTTTACTTTAATTTGAATCTACAATTTATTCAACAGCCTGCGATACAGTCGTTTCCCCCTCGCGATAATAAAAACAATAGTTTCTCCAGATACGTAAATCCCACCGTTCCGTTCTTGAACAACACAAATTCCAAGAACCATTTCCACAAATGGCGGCGAACAAATAACGATGCAAGCCTCGTTCACCCCTATAATTCTTCCCTCTTTCTGTAACACAGAAGGAACAACAGAGGCAATCCGTGCAACCCTTGGGAAGGGCTGGCTCGATTTAATATTCCAAGTCGCGCGGCCATTGTATTTTTCTTCTGTTTTATCACCTGCATCACTTGGTCGCGGTCCCTCGTACTGAAATGTCGCACGTGGATCCTTTTTAATTTCAGCCGGCGATGGAAAAAAGGGGAACGATTTACGACTTAATCGACGGTGAACGAGCATAAACGCTTTGCTCTCGACGCTTCGGGTGGCACGTATTCGCGTTAATTATGCAGCCTCGTGGTCGGCTAATCGGAAGAGGCGTTCTTAGACTGTCTGTCGCGCGTCTCTCCCCCGATCTCTCCTCGTTTCTTAATTTTTCCTTCAACGCGTGTAAATTTGAACAACGAGCAATCTGAAACGAACGAGATTTTGTCAGGATTTTGTTTACTTATTTGTTCTGCTTTCTCTTTTCTCTTTGATTTTCTGAATTTGACGATTTTTTTTTTTTCAATACGAGAGGAGATATTGTTCTTTTCATCACGAACTGCGATTGTAAATTATTCAGTTGTAGCAAGGGTAATTGTAATATTAACTTGAGATAGTAAACACAGAGATAAAAAATTGTTCATTATAATCGATCGGCAATAACACGATTTCATTACCCAACAGGTTTAAAATGGCCTCGAAATGGAAATGAGAGGATGTGCACGGAACTCACGATAAAAGAATCTCGAACAGAATTTTTTCAATTAGTGCAGGATCAATCTTTTTTTTTTTTATTTTTACGCCCGTATCTCTCGGGTACAATTATATATGGATTTCCAATTGAAAAATGTTTCGTTTGAAGGTGAAAAATTTATTAAAAACCAGGTCGCACGTTAAAGCTACTTTTATCACCCGTAAATCTCGCTTCCGTTTCAACCGGCAAAAAGATCTTCCAACGTTTTGAGAAAAAATTTTAGCGTGAGATTGAAACGAGAGAGAGAGAGAGAGAGAGAGAGAGAGAGAGAGAGAGAGAGAGAGAGAGAGAGAACAACTTTTTGCACGTTTTCCACGAACCGAAAATTGGGCCGAGAATAATTCAAAGAACGGAATAAAATTGAAAACATTATTAACAGGGCGAATATTTAGCTGAAAGTTGGCGGAGATCCGTATGAACCGTGAAGGAGGATCACGACCCGGGGAAATTAGGTTTCAACTAGTTCCAGTGTAAAATGTCGCAGGGGCACTCGTTTCCTTAAAAACGAAATATCGATATCGACAAGGTATAGTGCTCGTAAATTTCTCTCAATATATCGCGTCGTATTGCCAGACGTCCAAGCGCAGCGCGCGATGATTCATACAACCATTAAACGTCCACGCGAAATAATAACGCGTTAAAATTACCGTGAAATCGTTTCGAATCTCCGAACTCTGCCATTTTTCTCCGACTGTCGTCGACGATTAACGAGCAATTATTATCCGAGATATTATCTTGATATCCCAGATAATAGAATTGATATTCCTGGCACACTATCCTCCGTTTCGTTGCCATTCGTTTTTATCTTCATTTATTTGTTCTTCCTTCTTTTTCTTTTTTTTATTCTCATGTCTTATCGCAGTACACGCTCGAACAGATTTACCTACGTACCCTTCTAGGACAAATATTACGTTTCTTTCAAGAAAATAAATAATCTGGAAAGATTAGTGGATAGTTAGTAAATAGTGTTTATAAGGAATTTGCATTTGTAAAGTTTTGTATTGCTGGAGTGTTATAGAGCAGTTGATATTTAATATTATATAATTGCAGTAGTTTTTTATAATATCGTACTAAAAAATTTTATTACGACATGTGTAAATAACGAGACTTCTAATTGGGACTGTGCGGGATTTCTTTCGTCGTTTTATTTTATTTTGTTTCATTTTATTTTATTTTATTTTTTCTTCGTCATGGGTGTAAAACGAGTAAATCCAGCTACTATGTGTTCGTTACTGGAAATCCAATAAATTTTCGTCCGGATGGTAATGTCGTGAAAACTCATTAAACAAATTAAATACCAGGCTGGCTTTCGGAAAAACCCGGTCGATCGGTTAATTCGAGCCGCGTACGGACGTTCGTTGGCGGAATGACATAGTCTGAAATTGGTTTCAAGTTATATGTACGGCTGTATAAAAATTTATCTCTCGATGCACTCTATTTTTTTTTTTTTTTTTTTTTTTTTTAAGACATGACTTTCAAATGG